AGGATTGTATCGTATATTTGTCATCTCTCGTGGCACCTCTGGTATTCCAAATTTCTGAATCTAAGACACCACTGCAGTTGTTTAAAATTTATGTGTAAGCAAAGCGTGATGATGTCAATATTGTTAGGAACGCTAGATTTGATCTATTACCTAAATTTCAATAAATTTTTGAATTCTTAGGGTTACTTCACTGGTTGGAGTTGCTTGGTTTCCATGAGTAAAGCTGCAATTTTGAGAGTTCTATGAGTTCAGAAATCACGAAATCTGAACACATTTCAAGACTTTGGAATGTTCTAGAATAGTCTAAATATTGTCGTTAATGTCATTCAGCGACTTTTCTCGTCGCCCAGGAATTTTTGGAAAAAATATTCATTATTTTCTTCGAAAATATATTCGAGTTCGAAAACAATAAAAATAATTTCAATTAATTGATTTTAGACAAATCCAACAATAAAATCTGATGTGTATTCATTTGCTGTAACATTATGGGAAATTTGGTCACGTTGTTTATGTTTACCATATGTATCATTAACAAATGAAGAACTTTATCAACGTATTATATTACAACAATTAGAAAATAAAGATGATGTATCATTTAATTTATCTCTTCCACCTGATTGTCCAAAAGAAATTTATGATTTATTATGTGAATGTTGGCATATTGATGGAACAAAACGTCCAAATATTGCTGATATTGCACTTTATTTTCGACGACATATTGATTCTTCTCGTTTAAATACTATTTCTTAATGATATATATCTATATACATGTATCAGTGTCGTTCTTGCGATTGTCACAGTTTCTATTTGTATTTTTTTTTAAATATTATAATGAGATGATGTTTTTTTTTTCTCAGGGTTTTTTGTTTTTAGTATATAAATAAATGTATGTATTGCTTCCATCCTTTGCATGATAAGAAAAAAAAAAGAAATTTGTTTGTTTTTCTTAGAAACAAAAATAACTGACTGATCTACGTAATGCATCATTTCAATGTCGAGAATTTGAAGTAAATGTTTCTCAAAACCTTCCTTCATATATTTTGAAAGCGTAATCTAAAATATATGTAAACATATTGTGTTTTACTGAGTTAATGCTTTTAACAAATTAGATTTGTTAATTAATGGAAATGATGTTACTAAGAGATAGGAACATTAGTTTATCTGATCTTTCTTATGATGAAGATCGATATATCGAATTAGTTTGGTACATATCAGCACTGCCATCAATGTCAATTCAATTTATAATAATGAAAGTATATTTTCATGCAACGCTTGGTTTTCAAGGTTTTTTTTTCATGGATCTCAATTGAAAATGGGAATACATCCATTTCTCGACTGTGGTTTCAAAGATAACATTTTCTAGTGATCAGATAGAACGTTCAAAATTGAGCACGGTTGATATGAGCAAATTACATAAGTCTGTAGGTTCTCAGTACTACAGATGATACGTTATTTTTTATTTGAAGTTCAAGAAATTGGTGCATTTATACTCAAAGACAATATATTCAGAACTACAGGTCCTCATCAGTAGTTCATGTCGAACGTACTCAACTCTGAACGTTCTATCCGATGTTATTATTTGACTTCTTTGAATATTAAAAACGCTACACAATTGGCTAGAATTGATCGGGCTTTGTCTTAAAAAAATCATGAATTTCGACCAATGATGAAACTCTTTTCTTAGATTCGGTGAGATCTAATCATAGCATTCGATAGATCAATCAAAACTGAACAGAACTATTATAAATAATTGACAGACCAATGGCTTCGCAACACTGGAAAACATTCTCTTTGAAATCAAAATCCAGAAATTTCTTGCATTCTGAACTCAAAGTATTACGTGTACAATGTTATCGCATAACAAAAAATATTGTTTGTTTTTCATAGATTAAAACTGACTATCATTTTTATAAAAGCTACATATATAAAGCTAAATTTTTCTGAATTATTCGCTGCATATATTTTTATTTGAAAAAAATTCTCGTAACTTGATGACGTTTTTCATTTAGTTGTAATGTCATCTAATGGGAATCTAATTTTTGCATCTTTTGTTTTGAGTATACTTTAGAAAACAAAAGAATACGCATTTAATGAATAACAAGGAATATAGATACTATTGTTGGGGTGGTACATTTTCTTTACTTTAAAAAAAAAATGTATTTTAATATTTTAAATTTTTGTTATTTATTTTCTAGTCGATCATCATACAGTGATAATGAAGAAGCATATCAAAATACTTTCAAAATCATTTCTCATAGAAAAAGTGAAAAATAAAGTTAGCAACTTTATGACGTCGACTGGAATAGAATACTTGTACTTTACTTTATTTTTCACTTCTTCTATGAGAAATGATTTTGAAAGTATTTTGATGTGTTAGCAGATGAACAATGAATTCAAAGTATTGTAATTCATTTTACTTTTCGAATCAAGTTGATTTATTTTGATTTACTAGGTAACGTAAAATTAGCTATGTTATATTAATTTTTGAGAAGTAGAATAAAGATAAAGTGCCACTCCTTGTCTATTTCAAGTTTCTAGCTTTCATAGAATACACAATATTTTCATAAGCACATTATAAAAAGAAAACAGAAAAAAGTCTATGTTCAATACAAATGGGACAAAAAATGTAACAACGTTCATATCAATATGAAAAAATACGTAAAGAAAGATCTGTTTGATGGAAATGATAACTAATGATTGATGACAAAGAGAAAAGTAGTTCAAGAACTTTACGTGTTATAAAACTGCTTCAAACAATGTTATAGTTGAGGTGATTATCGTTTGACAAATTGCTCCTTCTTTGCTGTGCCCTAAGCAATAGATGTGTGGCATAAGGAAGGTTAGCAGCAGATTCGGAGATTTCTTGCTGATATTTGCTCCTGAACTTGCGTTAGGACCGCAGTTGGAACCAATTGGATATTTTTCTTATCGATCTAAACGACTAGAGCTGCCTGGCCAGTAGATATTCATGAATCATTCTTCGTTTTTCTGATCTTATAACAGTTAAGTCAAACCTTCGATCAGTTATATCTATCTTTGAACCACTACAATAGTGACATAAGAGTTCTTTTTTACTATTTATTTCCATAAGTTTATTTTCTCTTGATGTCTATTGCTGAATAGAAAACTTTAGAGCATTACAATTTCTAAATAAGATTTCTACATTTGCATCTACATCTGTTACACCCTAAACAGATACTTTCGTATCATTTTCTCTCTAGCGATATTATATTAGAACTCTTACCTATCAAAAACTGATTAGGAACATAGTGAAATTTGATGCAGATATCGTCTGAATCCTAATATCTCCTTTCACCCTCGCAATCACTTTCCTTATTACTCTCGCACACTTCTTTGCCCTCATTCTCACCATCGGTTCTGCCCTGCCACGGTAGCAGCTGTCTAGGTTGAAATAGTCGTGTTATCGAAAAATCAATAGAGAAATTCATTAAATTCGAAAAAGTCATTTATGCTATCTAGGAACTCGATTTACACTTACTTTCAATTAGGTCGTGAGAACTGACAATTATTAATAATTTGGAAGTTCTCTTTGAAGAGAAAAGAATCATAATACAATTTTTCTATATGAACAGTGAAGAATTTTCAAAGCACTCTTTTCATAAAAATGAATCTCCTTCAAAACTGATGTTTTTTTTGGTTTTATTATTCTAACTGAAGATATTTTTTTCCGATTTTTAATGTAAACTCTAATCTATTTTGTATGTCACATTATTCAGAATTATGACTAATGAATAAAAGAGTAATATTCTCTTCAACAAAATGATCTTGATTGTATAATAAAGGATTTACAAAAGACTAATGGAATTATGATGTCTATGAGTTCATTTCATTTATATTTTTGTCAAATTTCAATCATATTCTAAATTTACATGCGAGATTCATATTTTGTCCTATCAATCTTATAATGAAAGTCAAACCTTATTTCAATATATACACATATATATATGTCAGCATTTTTTCATTGCCATTTATAAGAATTATGAAAGATAAATATTGATGTTATAATCCTGGGTTATTATGAAAGGCTGTCGACATTTTTCTTTCTATTGAATATTTTCCGCTATTCATTCGATGAAATATCGTTGTTTTATTAAGTGCATTAGTCACGTCAAGCTAACATTTATTCATTGCTGAATATGATTTATGAACTTCTTCATATGTCACATAAAACAATGTTTCTATAGTCGTTTCTAATAATTGTAAAGTTACTGAAGATTAATGAGTTAATTTTAACAATAATTCAATAGAAATAAAATTTGACAGCATGAAGCTTTCAATCTTTTTATTATTTCTTAGTATGATCATTATAAGCAACGATGACATCCTTTTCATGATCTTTTGTTATTAAATAAATGAATAAGAAAATCAATTGAACAAAAACTTTGAGAATGAAGATAGTTTGGATTTCATTTTAGTTAGTTATTTGTCATCTAATACTAATTCATATACTTGATATAGATGTTATGATTAAAGATTTTTGTTAAATTAATTTTGATATTTGTTTACTTTACTTATTTAACAACGAAAGGTCACAATATAATGTTGTCTTTACTGATGATGACCATAATCATCAATAGAAAAAGTTAAAGATTCTATACTTTCAAGTATTTTCTTAAGATTGATTATCAATAGTGTCTACTTGACAAATCTTGATTGATGACTTTTATTTGATGCTCTCGAAATCTAACAGTTTCCTATGTATATACGATCAAACAATGTTCACTTCGATTTGTAGAATTTTTCTAATCATAGTTAAGATCGTAAGCACATTGATCTAGATATTTTTAAATGTAACGTACCTATTATGCTTAACATAAAAAAAAATCTAAACATGATTTATTTCTTTAATTTAGTTATTTCTCTAGATATTAATTAAAGAATTTATTTAATATTATAAACAATAAGAATATTTCTATTATCTAAATATTCATATAAATCTATAATATACAAAAACAAAAAAAACACATTAAACATAAAAATTATAATGCAGTACGTGGTTGATCAAGTTGAATTTTATTATTACTGGTTAAATAATCTAAATTATCATTTATAGATGGTGTGTGTTTTCCAGCAAATAATAAAGCTGGATTAGCATCACTAAAATGTGAACGTGGTCGATGATAATATCTAACATATTCTTCATATATTTGTCTAATATGTTTTCCAGTTAAATCAATAAATTCTTTTTTCATTGTATTTCCTGTTGGACGAATTTCTTTTATTATTTGTGAATTACTTGTTAAATCATACCATTCATGACGTAAACATAATGAACAATCACGTAAACATGACCAACGATTTGGACAACATGGAAAACAACCACAACACCAAAATGAACATACTTGTCTAGATGAATCTTGTATTGAACGCATTAAAAAATATGAAAGCCAAGGATTTATAGCACGATTTATTAAACGAAGAATAATAAGTGGAATATCAATTGCATAAGAAAGATTTTTTAAATTTAAATTTAATTCTATTGATGGATTATAAATACAAATCAAACGATAAATATAATATGGAAGTTGACAAAATATATATACAATTACATATAAAATAACCTGAAAAAAAATATATGAATTCTACTTCTTCAAATTCTTTTCATGTATTACGAAATTCATCGATGAAGATATTTGGTTGTATACCTCATCACTAAAGTAGAGATCATTAAATGCTTTTCGATTATCTATGTTCGTGAGTTGCATTTCAGCAATCATTTCCTACGTTTACTCTTTCTGAATATTTGTCATATATATATACTGTAGGTATCATCTCAGAATATCGCTGATAGAGTTCTTACTACTAATAATCTTAGATCTTTCGACAACATACCATTTTAATTAAATTGGGATGTTCATCATCATATGTTGTTAAATCTAATTGTTTATATGTATTTATATCCATATCATCAAAATTAATATTTCCATCAATTTTATATTTTTGTGGTTTCAAATTTTGATGAATATAAAATCGTAATATTAATAAAAAAATCATTAAAAATACTGGTAAAGCATTTCCAAATATAAAATCAAGTAAATAAATTGTTCGATAAGGTGTTTGAATTTGTTGTAAATCTAACCATGTTAATTGATTTATTTGTGTTTCATTATAAATACATTCATATGAACCATAATTTAATGATTTTAATTGTTGATTAAAAAATAATATTGGTATTAATGCATAACAAATAGCAAGCCAAATAGATATTAATATACAAATACCGCTAATAAAACGACGTTGACCATAACAAAATTTTTTTCTTTTAACACAACGATCAAGACATAAAAATACAATTGTATAAGCAAGAATAAAATCCATTATACGTAATATATACATTTCTGATTTACACCATAAATTATTTAACCATTTACCATTATTTAAGGCAAAATGTTCACCTAAATCAGCATAGGATACCATTTTAACTAGATAAAATATTAATGTCCATATTGTTCCTTCGAAAATTAAATTCCAAATAAGTACATGAATACTTTTTCGACCAAATCTATCGGTACTAACACATAACGAATAAAAATTTAATGTATTACCAATAAGAACAATTACGGTAATAATTGTATAAACAATAGGTAAAATAACACGAATCGGATAGGCTATTTGAGGAAATGTTTCATTACTCGCCATTTGAAATTAAGTTTTATATAGATAATTTTATCTGACAAAATAATTCACATGTATATGTTCTTTCTCTTTTTCTCTCACTTTATTTGAGTTGTTTGAAGAATAAAATAGTGACCGATATCGTGTACATTATCTTAAAGGTGTGCAGCTATAACAACCATGATCAAGATCAATTTCTGTCTCTCTTTCTTTTTGTTATTTGCTTTCAATTCGTCGTCTGCCTAGTTGATTCACACGTACATACGAACCTGCCTTTCCTTCGTTCTTCGCTTCTTTTTCTCTTATTCATTATACTCATAGTATATTCTCCCTTCTTCTTCTTTCTATTCATAGTTTGTTTGAGTATCTTGAATAGAGACGACAGGCTTTTTTTTCTTTCATTATGATTCCAATTGAAAGAAAGGTACTACAACAATCATGTTCATGATTTTATGTTCAATTTTATTGGATATAATGATGATTGATTGCCGTTTTATATACAAAATTAAGCAAGACATTTTTTTTCTTCATGATTAATAATATGAAAAATTGTAGTTTTATTATATATATATACATATATATATATTTCTCAACTGAATAAATATTTTCTTTTAAATAAAAAAAGAAATGTTTGAATAGAATGAATTTTATAATTGAGTTACTTTGAAGAGACAATCATTCATCAAATCATGAATAAAAGAATCGAATGTTTTTATATTTGAACAGAAGCTTTCATGTTCGATTTTTTTATTATGAGTATAAATTAAGATATAATTATGCATGTCAAAATACATACTTAAAGAACAAGTGTTCTCGTATATTAATCTCGAGAACATAATTAAGAATAAAATGAAGCTTTGAAGAACAATCTGATACTGTGAACCATAACCTTATCATTAAAGTTGACAAATCAATTCACCATATTCTCTCTTTAAAAATAACCTAAAACTGAAGTTTTCATCAATAATAAAAAGATTTAGTTAATAAATGAGCAGATCATTTCTATGATTAATCTTTCATTATATTCGATTGAGATTTTAAATTGTAAAAAATACAAAATATGATTAATGTAATATGATCAATCACTAAATAATAATCTTCCATCAAACAGATATAGTGTCATCTGTACGATTACCCAGACATAATAGTCAATATCTCGATATGTACAAAAAGAAAGAAATTAAAACTATTTTTACATTGTTCAACGCATCACATTACTGCTTCGTATCATTTAATTCACAGTAAGATAAACTTTAAAAAAAATTTGTTATGGCAAATCATCTACACAGTTAAAATATAGTTTTGATTGGGTTGCTTCTGTTCATATTGTTTGATATGAAATTTATCTATCACTAGACAAAAAAAAAGAAGTAGATGATTAACAAAAACTGAAAATTCTTGTTATTATTGTGTGAGTAGCAAGAACGAGATTATAAATTACTATTGACAGTAAAATGGACAGAATACGTCCTTTCGTTTAGTAGTTTTTTTTTCTTGTTAATAAAACATGACTGGATTATTTAAAAGGTTGTCTGAAAAAAAAGAACTTGCTGATTATTCAGTAAAGAAAATAATTCGTTATGCTAACATTCATTTATCCACAAAGAATTACGATTATAGTGACTTTTTTGATGTTGAAAAATTATCAGAAAGTTTTAAAAAACAAAATAAAAAATGATTAATCGATTGAATGAGAAACTATTTGAGCTCAGTAGTAAAAACAGAAATTCATGAAGGATAATAAAACATTTCAAAAATCAAAAATTAAAACTAGTTGAAATTCTCAAAGAAAATTTGAGAAAGAGAGTCTACTCTCAAATTAATATTTACAAGTTTCATATTCATTAGAGATCACTTTCAAAAAAGTTCTTTCATATAGATTCGGAAGAATTCGATGCTCAATAATAATAAAAAATGTCAATTCGTCATGAATATTACGATTTAGATAACCATATTGTCAGTAAATACGATATAGACAAGCATAGAGACACGAGAAAAAAAAACCTGTTTCGATTATATTGCAACGTCAATGGATCGTAGAGACAATTAGGTGCTACAACAAATAGTCGCAGTGCAAAATTCGTTGCAATATGAGAAACAAAAATTGCCAAAAAATTTTATTGGTATTACAGGAAAATAATTTACAGAAGTCAAGAAAATAACTAATGATCTATTCAAGGACAACGACCATTAGATAGGAATATAAATACGAATGTTTAGTAAACCCTTTCAGTTGTGCAGGAAGCGTTACACGAGAATAAGTAGTAATTGCGTAGAAATCTACTATGATTCATATAGTTTTTGTTTATTCTGGGACTTTTGCCTATTGAATTTTTCACTATTTCAAAATAGATATTGTTTTAGTCTTTCCGTAACATTTCAATCGGATCAAAAGGTGAATATTGACATTCAGTTACCATTTTTTGGCGAGATCTTCTACTTATCTATTTCATAGGACACATTTTCATTTTTACGCTATTCTATGTACGATTAAATCTCATGTGTATCAATTGAGACTTGTAGGATATGAAAAAAATTGACGCTTTTATCGGACATGCGATCGATTGTCGCTTTCCTCTCATTCTAGAGCATTTTCTCCACTATTACAGTTTTCAACAGTAAACTCTCAAAAGCTTTTGTTTCTATGTGACCAGGTTTGATTTTATTAACTTACAACACAAAGATCTCCATTTGTTTAACAGGCCACTACATTGTATTTTATCACTATTCATTGTCAGTACACACTACCATGAATCTCCTAACTATGGGATTCTCCAAATGAATATTTAACGATTCAACTCATTGAATCATAAGCACAGATGGATTACTTTAGCTATTTATCAGTTCACTTCTTGGACTTACCGTTATACTGTTTATGATTTATCATTCGTTCTGAGAGTTGTTTTTATAAAACTATTAAAATTAACAATATGTCATCCGTTTCTGAATCTTTCGTCGATCGTCTTACACATTTGATTGTTTCATTTCTGAATAGAATGAAAACTATTTTTAATTAGAAATTAACATCTTTTTCCGATATATTCTTCAATTGAATCACACATTTCATTTTAATCTATTTTTTTTTGGAAACAATGTCTAATAGAAGTGAGTTCATTAAGAAATCTGACAATTAAAATAACTACAGAGCCTTGTCGATCCAATAGATAGTGAGTGTTGTAACAAGTAACTGTTATAATAGAAATTGTTTGTTTTACTTTTAAATTTCATTTATCTATGCATAAAATCACCCAGCCAGTAATATTTGATTCATTTATTGGTTGGCCATAGAAAGATCGAAAGGTACTTTAAAAGATTCTAACTAACAAGGCATATATTTTATTGTATAGCAAAATACTAACATTCTAATAGCGAACATATACAAGTCAAGAAAAAAATAATAAAAATGTCATTTTTACGTAGGTGAAGTTAGTACCACATTCGAGTAATTCTAGCCCATATTCATTCAGGAAGCAGTTCAGGTGTTCTCATTTGTATTCCAAGTAGAATTCAACGTGCTCTATCCACTATGGAAATCATACTTACGATATCTCATATCATTCTTTCACAAATTGAAAATTAGTATTTTTCCTTCTAGGTCCATAGGGAATTCGAGGAGTAATTCGAACACTGGATCGCTCAGGATGTATTCCAGCTTCCGTTATCTGTGTTTCAAGTAGAATTCGGCATGTTCTATCAACTAACACCGGCAAAAAGGCCGGGAATACGTCCTGAGTAAAATCATTACTTTAACTACTCAGAGATCTCACTGAAACCTATGATGAAAAACCAGTATTGTTCAATTTGTGAAAGAATAATTTGAGATACCATAAATTTGATTGTATCGTTCGATAGAGCACATCGAATTCTACTTTGAACACGAATGAGAACACCTGGAATGTTTCTTGAGCGAATATGAACTGAAATTACTCGAATCTGGTGCTAGCTTCACTGGCGTGTCGTTTTTTTTGTTTAGTAACTGTAAATGATAAACCATCTCTATATTCCATTACATTCATAAAATCATCATAATATTGTTCACTAAGATTGCCTATACAATGTTGAATTGCAATTGTTTTGGTTTCTCTCGGTCGTGAGAATGTAGGTATGCAACAGATATGAGATTGGTTCGGTTGGTAGCTTTTCAAGTCGATCACAGTTTTGGTTTGATTTAAATTTTGAAAGACCTGAACCGATCCCATCTTTGATATATATGTATATATGGACGTGACCTGCCGGTCTGGTACCCAATATTTATTTGTTTATGTAGCTTTAGTCAGTTATCAGAAAACTGTGTTTTTTTTTTGCTAGTTGTAGTCCATATATAATGCTAATGATCTGTTACTGTTTGAGATCTATATGTTTCTAGGAACGAGATTTGTTAAGCGTATTCTTATAATCATTGGTTAAAGGTAGTTCACATCTAATTTATTAACATACACCAATTTTTTTTACTAAGAAATTTGAAACAACATGAAATACCACTACCTGAGTTTTCTGGTCAAGTTGTTAACTAGAGAATGAACTTTGAGAACAACTTCATTCAATTTGTGGAGAGAACATAATAGAAAGATGTAAGCGCTTACTATCGAGTGAAAATGTGTTAAAGAAAAGGAAAAACAAATGAAAGCCAGAAAAAAAAATCGCAGTTAAAACAAGGGTGATGTAACTGGAACACCAAGATACAATAGAATGGATGAAATGTTATCGTACATGAAATATATATCGGGAACCAGATATTAATAAATTAGATATGAAGTACCTTTAAGTTTCCTCTCAAAAAATCGACCTCAGCTTAGGAAGACTCAAATGACATGAAATTGTCAGGATATGTTGGGGTTGTTGTGGAAAAGCTATGGTGAAATTTTCAGGCCGATATCATGATGTTTGAGGGAAATACTGACCAAACGAGAGTCAAGAATAGCGAATTCAGCAACCCAAATTTCTCAGTCTAGATCCATGTGATGTATTTAAATTTTTTGTTTGTTTGAAAGACCATGTCAGGATGTAGGACACCACACAGTCCCTTTTTTTTTAAATTCTTACTTTTTAAACAGAAAGAAGACGTCACAAGTTCAATGACTTAAAAAAACTCCTAAAAATGGTGGTTTTTCTATAGAGATGTTTTCTTATATTATTATAAAATAGCTTATTTCAAAAAAAGAGACTCTGTGGTGCCCCGCACCTTGATGTGCTCTTTCCAACAAAAAAAAAATTTAAATACATTACATGGACTTGGACTGAAAAATTTGGATTACACGTTTGACATACTATGGACTGAGAAAAGAACAAAAAAGATTTTGGGTTTTTTCAAAAATGGCTTATTTTTCGAACAGGGGATGACGGAAATCTTCAAAAAGTTTTTGGAAAAAATGAGGTGTCGAGTAAAAATTTTTGTTGTTTATGAGAAATCAGATCACGGGCCATCTTCTCCTCCATTTAGCTTAATTTCGATCATTCTGACGAAAAGTAAATTTTTTTTTGAGGGATCTTAATACAATGATTATAAGAACACATTTAACAAATCTCGTTCCTAGGAACATAAAGATCTCAAACAGTAATAGATTATTAGTATTACATATGAGCTGCAACTAGTAAAAAAAACACATTTTTTTGATAACTGACTAAAGCTACAATAAACAAATAAATATTGGAGTACCAGACTGACTGGTCATGCCCATATATATATATATATATATATATATATATATATATATATGTAATAGATGAAAATCATTCGAAATAAAATGAAAGAATTGAAATAAATATTATATAGTTTTAGTTAGTCCTAGTAAACTTTTAAAAAATTTCTTGTTCGATTCAATTTTTAGAAATTTTGGTATCGATTCAATGTCAACTTTGAAAAACTTGAATCGATTCCATCTCTGGTGTAAGTACATTCTTCTTTCTTACTCACACTCATATCCTCTTGACCATATTTTTCGATTTCGATCTTTGTACGGTACAAGGTATCTGTTCTATACTTGAACTTAGTTTATTGTATATCATATTACCATCACCTTTTAACTTAAATATCCTTAATACGAAGATAAATCTTTTATTTATTAGAAATATTCAAAATCTATTTTACTTTCATAATGATTTAATCAAATCATCAAATTGTGTGTAACTCAAAAGAAGCTATTTTTAATATAAATATTAAAAAAAAATTGTTTTTGTAAGTAGCATTTTGGTTCTTTTATAACAACAAAAGAACGCAGACTAATATAATATTGTCTCATAAGTTAAAAGAGTTGAAATATATATACCTTTTATTATTGCTACATACAAAATAAATATACACATGGTGCTACTATTGAAAATATTAATATATTATTACTAAGTGGTGCATATGTTGCCATCTCTCTAACATAAATATCATATATATGTATATATGTATAAGTACTTGATATATCTTTTAATCAAGTTACAGTTTTTATTACGAGCAATGAAACAGTTTATACTCTTTATTTGTCTTCTTGTTGTTTTCCCATGTTCAATAACAGCAAGAGATCCAACTCAAAGAGCTCTTATGAAACATTTAGCTCAAGCAGCGAATAAACGTGGTTTAATTTCAAATGAAACATTTATTAGTACAATGTTTCAAACATTTCGAAGTCATCATCCTCGTCGATATCGAGCATTGGATAATGAAACAGAACGTTATCAGATCTTTCAAAACAGACTTAAAGCAGCAATTGAAAGTACTATTGAAACAAATCTTACATTTACATATGGTCTTAATAAATATTCTGATTGGCCACCACATGAATTACAAGTTCTTCGTGGTACTCGTCCACCACCACCGACAACAGAAACTCATTATATTACGATGACTTTTTCTCGAACGAAACAAACCAAATCATCAAATAAAAAGCAGCGTAAGGAGCCATCACAATCATCGACAACAACACCTGCTACATTAACTTCTACAACATCTGCTACATTTACTACTACAACACCTGCTACAGATGTTTATACAGTACCTGATACATTTGATTATACAACACGAGTATCAGCATTAAATACTAATGTATCAATTATAAGACCAATTAGAGATCAAGGATATTGTGGAAGTTGTTATGCATTTGCTATAATTACCTTATTCGAAGCTCAATATGCATTTCATTATGGACAAGCAGCTAATATGAGTGATCAACAAATTATTGATTGTTCAACAGGTGATTATGGATGTCGTGGTGGTTATTTTGATAAATCATTTGCTTATGTACAAGGTTATAATTGGTATCTAAATAGTGCTTTAAAGTATCCTTATAGAGCTAATGCTTCCACTTGTGCAGCTAAAACAACTGATGGATGGTCCGTTGGTAATTCAGTTTATCGTCATATAACACCAAAAAATGTAACAGATATGCAAGAAGCACTTGTTACTTATGGTCTTTTATGGATAAGTTTATATGTCGGTTCAGACTGTTCTGGTTCTGCAAAATCAAATTGTCCAGTAGACCCAACTGCTGCAAGCAAAATTATGGCTAAATTTCAAGGTTATACAAGTGGTGTTTTTAAAATAGATGGATGTATAACGTCAGCATCTAATAATAATCATGCTATGGTTATTGTGGGATATGGACATGATTTAGAACTTGGCTTAGATTATTGGAAATTACGTAACTCATGGGGTGCTGAATGGGGAGAAGATGGTTACGTTAGAATACAACGTGGAGTCAACATGTGTAATGTTGAATCAGATGCTTTTTTCATTGCTAAACCAGCACCATAGCATTTCAATATAATACATGTTTATTGTAGTCTTTTGAATTGACATACAATAATTATCAGTTGAAAATATTTCTTTATTATATTCAAGCATATAAATTGATTGGATCAAGCTCTAGTAGCTTTTTCTTACCTACTTTTCTGTAGAATCATATTAAATATACAGTTATCAACGCAAACAACAGATTGTATTCATGTGAAACACATAAATCAAAATTCACTTTATTATGAGCTTCTGTATAGGAGTGTCCCGAGGCCGTCAAGATTGGAAGGAGAATTGATGACTTAGCAGGTCGATCAGAAGTTTTTTTTCTAAAATTGACCGGATTTTGGAGGGATGCGCTTTTTTTTTAGGAATTAGTAGGTAAACCAACAGTAAAACTCTGGAATCCTACTGAATAAAAACAATAATTTTTCAAGATTGGGAAAGGGTCATCCGCTCGCCTTCACTTGAGCATCCCTGCTTCTGTACAAGTTTTCAAGATAAAAGTTAAGTTAAAAACTGAATCAGCAAATTTTATCACTCTTTTAAAAACAAAGGATTACAATAGAATACGATACAGATAACGAAGATCAATCCAATATAGCCCAACTGTGTCTACAAAACTATAATTATTTGATAAGTTTTGTCATCTACTTGGCAATTAGAAAATTAATAAATTACATATTTTAATAGAATTCAGGTCAAAGATCACGGAGTTCGTATACACCCGTGAACATTCCGTAACTCTCCATATACAAAGGCAGTAAACGTGCTTTTTTTCTCCATAAATCATCATAGTTCTTGATATAGAACACGGTGAAATGCGATCGTAGGACGAGACCATGCAGATCATCGTAACTCTTCGTTTACGATCATTTATAATTATACCTGTGTGACCTGAAAAACAATGTAATACGAAAGCAAAAATACTGTACAAGTAATTTCTGCTATATTCAAAGAAAATAAAATGAATGTTGCAATAGATCAATAACGTCATGGATTTGAATAATTGGGAAAGCGAAAGTCTATAAAAAATCTGTAGGTATAACAATTTTAATTTTAGACAAAAAAATTTCTAGTTCTTATCTTGCGTATATTAGAGAAACATGTACTTGTTTGTGACAATTTTCAATTTACTAACAATATTCTAAGTCTTTTTTCGTTTGATGTCCGTTTAGTTTATTCGTTTGCGTTAATTGTCTATTATTCATAGCTGCCAATTTTCATAGATCTGAATAACTCTCGCATATATAAATTAATTATTACAAAGATCCAAGAAGTATACATAATGATATTATATATTAGCGACATCATGATAAACAATTTAATATGATAGAATAGAGAAGAATTTTATCCAATCGAAAGTTGATCTCTTTGTTTTCCGAAAGAAGCTTTGCAGAACAACGACAAATCTCTTTGTCAATTTCTTTTGCTATCTAATTGGATCTGACTCTACCATTTCTGATCTCATTATTATTTACTAAAAAAAGTATTCATCTATAAACAAAACTCCATTTAAAATAAAATCTAAATCCAACAAGACTATTAAATATTCTAATTAGTTTATCTAAACATAAATAACTATGTTATCATTGATTAATGATAAAATCTCAAATGTTAATAATGATAATTGTTCATATTATGGTCGATTAAATTCAACTGGTTTCGGTATTATTCGAGCTTATGAAGGAATTCCAGAAAATATTCTTGTCAATTTAATCATCTCACTGGTATGAAATATTAATTTCAAAAATAAAAAAACAACAAACTATAGAACATTTTCATCATTAGATTCTTCTATTACTTTTTGTTTATTTACGACGTCGTTTTTCAGATGCGAAAAATATTACCGATAATACAGAGTAAATAAATTTAAACATAAAAAATTTTCTTAACAAGAATTCTTTTTTTTTTCTTTTTAGAATATCAAATTTACTCTATGGACGAAGTAATTCATCACGGCATCTCATTCACAACGTAAGTTATATATATATATTGATTATTTTATTGTTTTATACCGCTTATTGTATGCATTATATACACATAAAAAATGAACAGATGCTTATTATTATTTATTTTGTTCATTTTAAATAGCACCAACAATCTTATTTACATCGATATTGTTTGGTAAAAAAAATAGCATATTTATAAGATTAATTAATCCATACGCTTTTTTTCTTCGTGCTTGGTGGAAGAAATTTTATATTTTTAAATTAAAAAAAAAAGTTTTTCGTTTTTTTTTTTGTTTTTATAATTTAGACATATTGGTTATGGGTTCGAGATTTATTTCGAATCACGTATTTATATAATAATAAAAAAAAAAAATTATTATTTTTGAATAATATTTTTATAATTTAGTGATTGGGATATATATAAAAATTGTTCAGTAGATGCATATTATTATCTTTTATTTCATACATATTTAATTGTCTATTTACTTTTCGTGACAATATTTTCATTAGCAGTTATATTACCAGTTAATTTTCAAGGAACACAAGGTTTAAATACAAAGAAAACAACTAGTCTTATTAATATTAATTATGTTTTATTTTTAGGAGCAAATGAACAAAGATTTGCGCATACAACTATTGCGAATTTATCACCGGAGTAAATTTTTTTTTTTTTTTCTTATAATTCAAAAGAATTTCTTATATTATAGTTCATCATTACTTTGGATTCATGCATGTACATCAATATTATTTGTATTAATTGGAATTATTGTAGTTTATTTATATAAAAATACTACACGATATTATGCTACAGAGGATATGGTATGTAGAAATAAAAGAAATAAAATTTAAATTATTAATTTCAAAATTCTTAGTATGAAGATGAAGAATCAAAAGAAAAAGTAGAGTTTTATATTGTCTGTATAGTTGATGTGTAATGTTGTATGTTTCATAGAGATTATTTGAAATGACAAGGATCAATGTAACTCAGTAATTGAGAAGGAGACAAACTTCATTTCTAGAGTGCATGGTCCTTGATCACCACTCGGGATGGCAACACTGTTGATATTGTTTTTATAATTGAGTTTTTATTTCTTTTGTTTTTGTATGTTAAGGCTTCTCGAACATTAATGATACGTGGAATTCCACAAAATGTATGTGATGAAGAACAATTAAATAATTATTTTCGGTAAATTAAAGAGAAATGAAATAATTAATTGTAATTATTGAAATTTATAGAGAAGCATATTCGACATTCGAAATAACACATTTAATATTGGTCTATAATATAGCTCAATTACAGCATTATTATAAACACCGGTTGGTTCTTTCATCAGATTCTTTTTGATTTTTACAAAAAATTTTTTTTTATTAGTGAACTTAATTTTCGTATTTGGCAACAAAGTAAAAATATGTATGAACAAACAGGCAAACGTCCTATTGTTCATAATAATAAATTTGGACAAATGTGTGGTGTAAGTATATATATATAATTTCTAAAAAAAAAAGAAAATTTTTATTAATTATATTATATAATTTTAGTGTTGTGCTAAAGAGGTTTGTTTTGTACTATAAACAATAAGATATACTTAAATTATTTATTAATATTAGATTGATGCAATTGAATATTATGAAAAATTATATAATTTTTATAAACAACATGTAGAAGATGAATTTACACATGTAAAAGAAAAAAAATGTGGATTAGTTTTTATAACATTTTCAACAATTGAACAAGCACATAAGTATATTTTATATTTTATTATTAGATATAATAAATAGTTTTTATTATTTTGTTTTTCTCTATAGAGTTTATTCAGATTTTCGTAGAATATGTTTTACACGAAATCATCGACCGGAAACATCAACAAGTAAAATACTTGGAATTCATCAATGGAAAGTCAAATTTGCACCAAGCCCAAAAAATATTATTTGGTAATAAATAGATTTTTATTTTACTCTTTCGTTCTTATAGGATGTGAATAAGAGAGCAAGATCTCTATTCCGCTCACAGTCTAAAGAGAGTGAAATTAATGAAAATCATAGTAGCTTGAAAAAGTATAAAATAAAACGATATAAATTTAATTTCTCATGGACTCATCCATATGGCGCAAAAGTCTTTGCATAAAATATGTATTGATTTTCCGGCCACTAAAAAACAATTGGCTAGAATTAGAATTTTTCGAATATATATACGAAATTCCCTACTAAGGTAAGATTGTACACCTATCAGTAAATTTTATGAGAAAATTCAAAATTATGTCTTGGGACAGCTTCAACTCAACATTATTGTAGTGCATATATATTTCTCTATAAAATACGATAAATCTATGTGTTTCAATTAAAGAACTATTTTCTATGGAAATCATTTGTTTCAAAAACTACTATTAAAAATTAAAAATCTGTCGTGCAGAAATGAATAGCACGCTTTATAGAATAATAAATTCTACATCCTAACAACTATATTCACTTGATTTTCTTTTTCAGGAAAAATATTCCAACAAATGAAGCTAGTCATTGGTTTCGTATTATCATCGTTAATATTGTATGTATGATTAATATATATATGTATATATAGATTTATTTTTGAAATTTAAGATTCTTGTATTTTTTATGATATTTTTATCAACTCCATCAATTGTAATGAGTACAATCGATAAAATAATTAATAAATATCGTTCAATAGATTCATTAAAAACTGTAACAGATCAATTTCATATTCCAGTTATATTAACATCTGTAATGCCTGTATTATTATTACGTTTATTTGCTGCTATTATGCCAGCTATTGTTAGTATAACATCATTACTTGAAAAACAATGGAAAAAATCTAAATTAGAAAAATCTATGATGATTAAATTATTTGTTTTTCTTTTAATGATGATACTTATTTTACCATCATTAGGTTTAACAAGTATTGAAGGATTTCTTCGTTGGGTTTTTCAAAGTGATGAAGATCCGACACATAGTGGAAGAATTCGTTGGATGTTAGTTTAATCCTAATTGTTAAATAAATTTAAATCGCTTTCTTTTTTTTTGCTTATTTAAAGGTGTGTATTTTTACCGGATAATGGAGCTTTTTTTGTGAATTATATAATAACATCAACATTTATTGGAGCTGCTATTGAATTATTACGTCTACCTGATTTAATATCTTATATTTATACAATTGCAACAGTTAAATCAACAGCTGAACGAACAGTTATTCGACATGTAAGAATTTATTTGATTATATAGAATGATAATACGATAAAAATGAGCAGGTAATATACTGAGGGTATACCACCAGTTCTCGCTACGACGTTTAAAGGATCTTTTCGGATAAGGGAGTCTATTGAGAAATGAAAAATCAAATATCCCATGTTGTAGAGCTTTTTGAGGTGCGTCGAATGTTATATAGGAAATCTTGTTTTCATAGGACTTTGAAGAAAGTAGAGTCAATTTGCTGATAGACTACTACACATCCATACTGGCAAGACGACCGAAGAAGGTTACATAGAGGAGGTTTTAGCACGTCAAAAAAACTACAGAATCGTATGTGAGAAAAAATATTTTACAAACATTTTTGACTAAAGCCCCCCCCAAAATAGACGGCCACCCTATATTAGAAGGCCACCCCCTGTATAAGGCCATGTCCGAGCAAAAGTTCAAACGCTCTATTAGAAGGCCATTTACTAATTAATTAATATATTCCAAAATTATCGAAGTTTTTATAAATATTAATTAATAATTAAGGAAATATAACCGATTTTCTAATGTTTTTTTGCGAAATCCTTCCTTTCCTATCATAAATAGTACAATTTTTACAAAAGATGGTAGTTTTTTCAGCAAAAATCACCTAAATAGCAATAATTAAAGTTATTAATTAATTATTAATTTTTTAAATAATTTTAATTAAAAACTCGCCAAAAATTGACCCCCAATAGAAGGCCATCCAAAACGTAGCGATGTGCCAAGACACTGTATAAGGGCATGCCCTTTTATTCTGGGAGGGGGTTTAATACCAAGGACGACAATATTTAGAAATTTATCATGTTTGGGTATGGATGTGTAGTCGTCCATCAGTAAATTGACTCTAGGTCCTTCAAAGTCCTATGAAAGCAATATTTACTACATACTATTCGACGCGCCTCAAAAAGCTCTACAACATCGGATATTTGATTTTTCATCTCTCAATAGGTTCTCTTATTCAAAAGGATCCTTTAAACGTCGTAGCCAGAACTTTCGGTATGCTTTAAGTATTAAAAACTTCTCGAAAATTCTGAAACATATCGGAGCGTCTTTTCGTCTAGTACTATATTCGAGTTCTCCATATAGTTTATCACAATTCAAATCCATCGATTTGTGGAATAATTCATTTTCATTTACATGAAAACTGAATTCGTGTGTAACTTTGTTTCCAAAAATAATCTTTAATGATTCAACGATGTATCAGTGGTAGTGTGTGTAATACTAAAATATTGATATTGATATCACCACCAATATTCGAATACATTGACTCTGCTATAGTATTTTCATTTGTATACTTTTAGTGTTATTTATTAACGTAAAATAGTGAAATGAGTATTTCTATGCTTTCAAAAAAATTCGCATACTAATGTAATTTTATAGATAATTGAAAGGGAAAATCTTTTGAGACTAAATAAAAAATTTCTATAATGAAAGCTTGCTGAGAAAAATACAAATAGTGCTATTATTTACGGCCTACGCATTATGTTCATAACAGCTTAAATATTTCAATGAAAACAAATTTATTTATTTTCATAAAACATTTTTTTTCTAAGTCTCTTCAATTTCCATTTCGTTTTGGTGTACAATATGCTTGGACAGCAGCTGTATTCAGTGTTATTCTTGCTTATTCTATAATATGTCCATTAATAACACCAATTGGTAAAAGATTTTTATTATTGATTAATAATAAATTAATTGAAATAATTAAATAGGTTTAATCTATATGTTAATAAAACGTGCCGTTGATAAATATAATTTAGTATTTGTTTATGATACTGAAATAGCTGATAAAAGTGTTCATCGTTTAGCTGGAAATTTTATTATAATTGCATTAATTATTCAACAATTATTATTATTATTTTTCGTTCTTGTTCGTTCTGGTTTGTTTTATTGACAAAAAAAAAAAAAGTTTTTTTCGTTTATTTTATTTAAATATTTTTGTAGAATCATTGACTTATTTATCAATAATATTATTGGGAAGTTTTATCATAACAAGTAAATATTATTTGTTTCTTTTCTTTATGTTTTAAATAAATAATCTATTTAGGTGGAGTTTATATTTGTTTTACATGGTTTGATTGTTGTGGTCGATGGACTTCAAGAAGATATTCATCGTCAAGAGAAATCTTACCTGAGGTCAGCATTTATTTTGTTCCCTATGCAATTAGATATAATTTATTAACTAAAAAAAATGCAAGTGTAAGAAAAAGATATGTATTATTAGCTAATTGGTTGGGACTTTTATTTTTTGCAATTTTCTCGCTTCGTTTTTTTGTTTTCATGAATTGATTATTAATTTGTTTGAGAATTTCGAAGATATGTTGTTGTTATTATGTTTTTTTTTATTATAGGCATTGAGTATTCGTCAAAAATTAAATGATGTAGGTGAATTAGAAGAAACGGAAGGTGGTGAAACAAAACAGCGAGTTACATCGGTAAAGATTTTATTTGATCACAAAAAAACAAAAGATTTGAATCGATTTTTGTTTTTGTAGAATTATATTCCAACTGTATTAAATGCATGTTTTGAAGAATTTAATACAACAAATATTAGTCGTAGTTCAACACGTGAACGATTACAACAAGGAAATTATGGAACTATTGATCAAGTTAATCAACCGATGGTTATTGGAACTGGTGATGGAAATGATTTACTTACGGGTTGAAAGAATTTGTTTTCTTCTTGGTGAAAGCATATTTATTTATTGTGTTGTGATGTTTTTGTGTGAAATATTTATATATCTTATATATATATATATATAAACAGTTCTGTAATGTATTTTTGTCAAACAGTTTAAATTGATAAATATTGTATTTTAATCTATTGTGAATTATTTTTCGTTGTAGTAGATTTTAAAATAAATATTTTAATCGAGTATATTTGTTGTTTTAGATTTTTCTTTTTTTTTCAAAGTTATTTTTTAATATTAACAAATTATAAATATGGTTGTTAATGCAGCACTTAAACGACGTCGACGTAAGTTTATTTGATTTCTTTTAGAAGATAAAATTTAATGAGAAATGATTGTTTTTAAATATTTCATCACTTATGAGGAAATATTTTAAAATGTATCTTGTAAGAATGAATTCAAAAGCATTGTAACTGTTAGAGAGCTCGATAAAAGTCAAAGTCTCCGTTTCGATCTCGAAAAACGAACGTATCTAACATTTCATGTTTAGGCTTTTTCTTACCTATTTTATTATGTATTAAGACTGATCAAATAGGGAGATACGACTCACTATTTGTCTTGATTTTTTTATAACTGAATATTTACTAGCGATCGGGTTGATCATGACGACTATCCGATGAGATGGTCAAAAAAAAAGAATTATACTCTATCATGTGCGCTAAGACAAGTTATTCACGATGATAATTTGTCAAAGGAATCTATACATCATATTAAGAATTACAGAGAAGTCAACAAAAACGAAGATGATATCAATATAGAAGACGACGATAACATTGAATAAATTTTATTAAATACAAATATTGAGAACAACACTTCTGAACTTGCTGTTCGAGTACTTCATAGACCATTATATGTTTTTTAACCAAATGTGCATCGAATCGATGGTTTATCGATCTATATTCATATCAATTTGCTGTCTCCAAAGAAAACTATTTGTTCTTACGAATTTAACAGACGCGAAAAATGACATGACGCATCTACTATTGAGAAAGAGTCAAAAAATGAAAAATTTAGACACTCGTTGTTCTAAATCGAACCATAGGGAGGGCATTGGTATTCGAGATATTATTCGTCGAGGTCTCTAACAGATAGAATATTTGTTGAACTTATTCTTAGGCAGTACACTCAAATATGTTCGTTCGTTAGTAGATGAAAAATTAATATAAATAGTTTAAACTTTCGTTTAACAAAATTTACTAAATAGAGAAGTTTATTTAATATGAAATAATTCAATTACATCTCAGTATTATAGCTTAGGAACAAAAAATATTTCATAGCATTTGCACTATCTGGTAATTTTTACAAAAAAAAAAGCTGTTAGCACAATTCCTACAGGATTAAACTGTGAAATACGATATATCTGATGTTAATTAATCACAGAAAAATTGTTTCATTCTATCTGTTTTGAGATACACTTCTTTACCATCTTTAATCTTCTCGAAATGCAATAAGATAGTAGGTCATATTTAGGCGTGTGTGTGTGGATAAAAATAATATTTTTTTCCATCGTTCCGACTTTGAAATATGGAGCCTATACAAAAAACCAAAAAAATTCGAATTTTTTGCAACACTATATTCTTTATCGATACTTCATAGCGATCTTTCGGAATTTCTGTGTGATATAAATCAATGCAGAATTCCAGTAGTGAGTTAGATATATTTCGAAAGTTTTTCGATATAACTCTGCAAATGATACATACTAAGCCATACAATTGATCATGGAGTCATTATTGAACAATCAAGAACAAAGTTAACATATGTACGATAAATCTCAACTCATGAGAAGTTGAAATAATATATATTATGAATTAAATGTTCTCAGAGATTATAAAATGGCTCAAATTATAATAGATGTTTATTTATCAAGATGTGCCAAAAACACATGTATTCTTTTGAGATTAACTCTTTCTTCCTTTTTTTTATTACTATAATAACTTGGGATTGATGTTACTTTTGCTCACTGAATAATTTAGTCAAAGGAAAAAAAAAATCACCGTTTTTTATGTCGGTCAATCTCCTTTCGACAGTACAAGATCTTTGAATCAATCAAATGATCCTACATAAAGAAATGAACACTCAGTGGATCAGACCAATATCATTAGCTTATTAGATAGTATAATACTCGATTTATAAAGTTATTTAATCAATGACTCATCTGGAACCGTTGTGGAAGGTATAGAGTTCACGCAACTTTTTTTTTTCTAACTAATATAGATTTATTTTGTATATTATTCATTTTCTAATGAAAACTTTATTTAATATAAATATAAAAATATAATTGAAATTTTATAAATAGATACGATTAAAATATTTCGTTTAATTATTTATCTATATATATATTGTTAATAACAAATTTTGATTAAACACTTTATATTATAACATATACTTATTCTCTAGAGAATACATTGGCTCAATTGGTTATTGCTAAAAATACCAATATCGAATTAATCAAAAAATATGAAGAAAATAAATTAGAAGAACATAGGTATTTTGTAATTTAAAAACTTTTTAAAAATAAATTCATTATCTATCATATATATACATAAAATAGATGTGAACAAAAAATTATTGATAAATGTGCTGAAATGTCTAGTAATCTTCAACAACGTATGGATGAATTAATTGCAAGTGGTTCAGTTGCAGCTGTAAAACATATTTTTATTTTTCTTTATTATCATTCAAATAAATATTTAAAACCTTTTATTTTTTTTTTAGACATCAAAAAAAACTGAAAAAATGCTTGAAAGAGCTCATCAATGGAGTCAAGAAATGACAGATAGATTAGCAACAATATTATGTTTACAAGAATCTCCTGAACAATCTCGTACAAGTTTAACAATGCCTGCTGCAATTAATAATAATAATAATAATAATAATACACTTCTTGATACAACAATAGCTCGTCGTCAAGCAGCAGCTGCTCAATTACAATTAGCTGGACTTTCAGCATCATTTTATGTTCAACAAGGTCGTAAATCACTTTCTGTTTCAATACAAAAAAGTCCACGTACACGTCATTTGTATGAATTTTTTATTTTTGTTATTTTAAATTATTTCTTTGTTTTATTTTTTAAATTCAATTAGATATAAAAATAAAAATAATAATAAATCAATGATTGATGAAAATGATATTAATGATGAAAATAAACCAATGGAAGATGTATCACAAATGGTTAAGATTTTTCTTTTTGTTTTATAAACTCTTTTTATATTTATGTTTTTAGCCTACGGATGAAATGAATGATGAAGGAGAAACAACTATTGAACCAGAATCAAATCGAACGTAAGTTTGTTTTCAAAAGAATATTACGATGATTGATTTATTTATTTATTTAAATAAAATAGTCCAACACCACCACCACCTCCACCATTACCTGATTTTTATATTGTTGAAGATAGTCTTAATTATACGAAAAAAGGTGAAAAGAAACATTTTACAGTTCAAAATCGATATGGACAATTTAAAATGGTATAAAGATTTATAAAGAAAAATTAACTATTTTATTTATCTTCTTTTTTTTAAAGGTGCGTATTAGTGGTGTTACTGAACCATTTCAATGTAAAGCACGTGTTATGAATTTGCCGTAAGTTTAGTTTGTTTGTAATAGATATATTTATTTTTGCTTTGACTTTTTTATTAGTCCGCATTCACAAATGCCTTTATCAATTGCATTTTTACCAACGATAAAACAACGTGGTATGAAATTTTCATGTACAATTACATTACGTACATCTTCCGATGATGGTCAAGATGATATTCTTCTCGAACGATCTCTTACTGGTCAATGGTTATAAATATATTTTTTTTCCTCTTTTTCGTTATTATTCTTATCTGTTAGATATGTATTATTTTTTCTTTATCGTACTTGTTCAATACTTATGCCAGATAGAATTTGTGAATCTTATCCATGTAGAAATATATGTTGAATTGTATTCTTGTAGATAGATGAAAAATAAATTTCCAAAGGAAATATTAGAATTATCTTGTTTATCCATTATGAAAGATATTGTATAGTTAAAAATTTAAGTTCAATAAATGAAATTTATTCAATAAAATTAATGATAAAGAACAAATTTATTATTTGTTTTGTCAAATGTTTTTTATTATTGTACAATTGAGATTAGATTGAAATGAATAAAAGAAAATATTTATTTATCACCAAGTATTTATCCTACTATTGAGATAATAATCTTAGATGAATTACTGAGTTCATATGATTTGTTCTGTTGAAATTATTTTTGTTCCACATTATTTAATAGATAATTCTTGATGTTGATATAGTAGCTGATATTTGAAAGAAACATAATTTTTCTAGATAATATTATATATATAAGATTTTCTTTCAATTTTCAATGACTAGTCAATGTCTATAATTGATGGTAGGAAAACATCCGGAATCATAATTTTCTTTCATATGAATTTGCCATTAATGGAATAAGATATTCATCATCAATAAATTATTTCCTATGTACTGAACAAGATTAAGAACAAAATTCAAAGTCACGGTCGAATATTTCATGTCGATTGGTGGCTAAACAAATGTTTCGACTTCAACTAGATTGTAAATCGATAAAGAAAGGATAAAAGTTATAAAGAAAACTTAACAAAATTTTCTTCGAAATAATGATTTTCGAAAAGGAATTTTTTTAGAATCAAGTATAGAACCAATTCATTTTACGTTATTATCATCGCAATGATTCTATACTACAAAGAATTCGAACAGAAATTACGACAAAATGATAAAGAGGATAATCATCATGGAGCGGAAATTCGTCAAACAATAGAAAAAAATATTCCCAAGATAATCGATAAATAAATTGTTTTAACGTTCTAATAGAATTGTTTTCTGATCTCAATCTACTTCTATAGAAACGTAAAACATCATTCATATAATAATAAAAAAAAAAAAAGAAAATGAAACAATTGGAGAGCTCTTCCATTTCTATTAACACGTTTGTACATGGAATGCATTTGA